AAATCCTTTTTCATGTTACACATGCTAGTTCACTAAGTAGTCTTACAATAATTAGAATTTAGAATGGATATCCTATATATGTTAAGATTGATCTATATCAAAAATATTTTCTCAAAACATAACTCAACACATCTAATATTTCTTTATGTATTTAGTTATTTAAAAGTTAGTTTTCATACATAAAGTTAATAATGACATTCACAGGAAACTATGCAGAGATTTTTTTTTTTCCTGAATAAATGGTCATTGAAACTCCAACTCACTGATGGAGTTTCAGCATATAAATTCCAAAGAGGATTTACCCTCTGAATTACAAACCAAAAACTTCCTGGTACTTGAAAGGAAATAATAAGATGGACAGAGTAATTCTGCATGATGTGCATTGGTCAGATTGCTGGTGCAGTTCCTGTGATTAGGTACAGTGGAGATCTATACAAGCACGTGATCACTCATTAAGAAAAGATGAAGGATGCCAGCAGCAGAGGTGAAGAAGCCTTTGACAATTTAGACTTCCATGCCAGAGACTGAAGTCAAAGTCAAAGAGCTACTTTTGGCTGAACACTAAAGCCAAAGATGATCTTTTGGCATATTCCTAATTCTGCACAAAGAACATTTTTATATATTATTTCACAAGATTTCATTTTCTTTCGTATTCAACAGTTCTGTGACACCAAGTTCATCTAAATAGTTGTACAAGGCAAGAATTCAATATAATGTTGTCTGATAGCTAGCATTCTCTGGTCTTTCAGATTGGTAATGGCATCTTATAATTTAAACAACTTTTACAGGGCCTACTCTATAGCTCAGTAGTTAACCTTTGTGCCTAGAGAGCTTAGATCTCACATGACTGATCACAGTTCAAATCCAAGTCTGGCAGCTTGATAAACACGTGGACATGTGTATGGATGTCCAAAATCTTGATGATGGGGAAATGGAGAAAAAAAGATTGCAGGGTAACCATGCCTTATTGGAGAGGGCTTTCTCCCTCTGCCTCCATGGGAAACACTTGTACTTTCTGGCAGTAAAACAAAAATAATAAATAACTTACAAATTCAAAGATATGTAACAACATCTATGAGAGACCTTCAGAAAATTCATGAAAAAATATGTAAAAAGTTGGAGTAAAATAAAATTTTTGCAACATATATGAGAGACCTTCAGAAAATTCATGAAAAAATGTGTATTATGAAAACATTTCTTTTGATGTCAAATATTTTTGCATTGAAATAAACTTATATGTTTTTCCATTTTTCCATGCACTTTCTAAACTCCCTTGTATTTTAGTCTATGTAGCTATAGTAAAGCTGTGACTATACTTTACACTGGGAAAGACAGACTTTGATCTGACATCAAAAACATCAAATTATAAAGTACCATGCACAATTTCCTATTTCCTAACCAACAGACAATGGTACTGAGTCATTAAATTTTGTCACTAATTACAGTTACAAATTAATATATAAGCTACACTATCTGTAAATGAAATATCTTTTATCAGTATATTATTCAGATTGGTTTACAAATTCATTATTTTTATTTGACTTATATATACCAACTGTCACTCAATTTAAAAACCACATATATGTACCCAGAGATAATAGTTTAATTGACTATTTTACATTTATATATATGTACTAAGAGATAATAGTTTAATTGACTATTTTACATTAAAATATCTAATTACAGTAATGTATGATGACATTAAATGCTTACTATTTAAAATATAAAAATATGTTACATAACTTTAGGGAAAATGTCACTCTATCAAAATTTATATAATTATTATAATTCAGTTATTTTTATCTGATGTTTATATACATATTTCCATACAGTTTGAAGAAGTTATAACTTTAGAAGTAGCCTGAAGAAGTTGTGTTAAATCACAGGAATACATAAATATAGCATATTTGTGGCTAGCTGGTGGCATAATGTTTAATGTGCTGGACTCCCACATGGCTGATCACAATTCGAGTCTTGGATCTGGTGGCTTGAAACTCACACCAGATATGTTGTGTGTATGCATGCCCAAAATCCCAGGAGGAGAATGGAAGAGAAGAAAAGAAATCATGATCATCCCCTCTGGGGGTGATTCCTCACTTTCTTCCTCCTCCCCCCCCTTCTCTGGTGAGTGAACATACCCTATAGCAAAAATCTCTCTCTCAAAAAAATAATAATAAGGCATATTTTAAAAGACTCAATGAGAACATCACCCATCACTGAAAATTATTCCTATTTGGTTTTCATACGGCTATTTTTTGTGGCTAAAGAATTGGCCCATCATAACTTGGTGGAAATTGAACTGGGAAACTGATGATAAAAGTTTTCAAATTTCTTTTACCTGAAATAACCAGAAACTAGGACAGAAATGATTTAGGGCTTACATTATGCAACCATTGCTTTTTTTTTTTTTTCCCCAGTCTACTCCTAGATTCCAACATAGCTGGTATCTTTGACACCCTCTGCCTGTGTGGGAATGATAGCTTTCCCCGATGATACTTTACACACTTAATCATCTAAATAGTGAAATATATGATGATGGATCCAGTTTGTGTAGCTTACATGGCACCAACAAGACTATGGTCAGTGAGCCAACTACTTTTCTTTTTTTTTTTTTTAAGTTTATTTATTTCTTCCATGAGACGGAAGAGAAAATAAGGAGAAACAGACAGACAGACAGACCCCAACAGAGGCTCAACACTGCAATCCACTCTCAGCCTCAGCCAGGCCCTGAATACAGGAGTCATGGCCCGGAAACATCATGCACGGTCAGCCTCGCAGAGCACTGCATTTTACGGCCGTGCCACTGTCTGGCTCCTCAACTATATTAGTGGTCCTATGCTTATCCAGGTGGATTGTTTTCGTCTTGGTTAATAAAAACATGCTTCTCCTTTTTTGTTTAAAATATAAATCTTTTGCTCAAACCCAGATGTTTTTAGATTTACCTTTTATTTTCCTAAATGTTCTCCATCATAAACATTTGCTCTCTTATGGAGAATAAAGATAGAAAAAAATAGGGAGAATAAGGAAAAGATAATTCCATCATTTGAAAGCTCAGAAATTTAAAAAAAAAGGTTTCAAAACCATTAGAATGGCTATATCATAGTAAGTTCCATTGTTTGATGAGATACTTTATGCTTGTTTTAAAAGAATATTGTGGAGCAAATACACTTTGAATAAGTTACGATGTATTGCTCTGTCACTTATTTTAAGCTTTCTTGATATCTTCATATGAATGGTTTTATTTAAGTAAGATTGTGGTAGATCATGCTTTCCTATTGGTGATATTCTCCTATCATTATACCCTACGATCAGATTTTTATTTAAATTTTACCTAAAAAAAACTATCAGAAAAATGTATTGTTTCTATTTTAATGTAGTTCCTATCAAAGAAGTCTACGTAAGGAAATTTCTTTATGTGACTAGAACATGCATTTCTGTGATGACATTATGGTCTATTTGAGTTCTCTCTGTTATAACTCAGAAAAATTCATTTACTGCATTTTTCTTTTGCTATTTAAACTTTATCTTTCTTTATTTCCTTGAAGTGCTTCAGTCAGGTGAATTAGAAGACTGGAAGTCAAATGAAAGGGGAAAATCTGGGAAAAATAAACCAAGAAGACATTAATTTGATAAATACAAAAAGAAAACAATGATTAATGCATTTTAAAGATTGTTTTTTATTTGTTTAATTTTAATTTTTATATTTTTACTTCTTTATTTTCTTCAGTGTCATCTATAAGTTCAGCAGATTGTACTGTAAATGCCACTACAATGTGAATTCCTTATGAAAAATATAATTAACCTAAAATAAACTTGATTCATGTTTGTTGCAGTAAAATTCAACTACAATTTAGAATATCCTTTCATGAAAATTAATGATAAATAAATTTAACTTGATTTTTTTTCTTTTGCTATGGGATGCTTGTGCTTGCTGGAGAGAGCCAGAGTGAAACGAAGAGGGCAAGTGAAAAATCACCTCCTGGGCTAGAATGGTCATGCCGCAATCCCTTCTTTTCCATTCTTCTCTGGGGATGTTAGACACACATGCACATGTGCCAGTGTGATTTTCTTTTCTTTTTTTAAAAAAATTATTTGTTTAATTTTGACCATTTTTATTATTATTATTTTAACTTGATCAGGGAGACAGATAGAGAGAGAGAGAGAGAGAGAGAGAAGGAAAGTGAGAAAGCAGCTGCTTTTTCCAGGACTAGAAACGCAGTCAGCCATGTGGGAGTCCAACGCCTCAACCACCATGCCTCCTGCTGGCCCCCTTTAATTGAGAATTTAAGCACAATTATTGGTTACTACTATGTTTCTGTTTCTTTTTCTTAACTTTCTCAAAACATGAAAGTCATGCATAGATACAATGGTAGTATCAGAGCATATCTAAAGTTTTCTTACAGAAAATAACAATACAATTGGCATTTTTTTAAACTATAATTTATAATATATGCATAGAAAATGCCATTTTAAAGAAAAATAGGATCAGTATGGTCCTATGACATAGAATGGATTCCAAAAAGCACAGTATGGAATGTACCCATACAGAATTACAGAATCTTCTCTGTTACATGCTTTGATTTCAGGGCAAAGTTGAGCAACTTTAATCTGTCTTTATCAGTTGTCAACAAAACTTACACAGTAGCGCACATATGTTAAATGGAGTGCTGTCAGCCTTCCCAGTAAACCAGATCCATAGTGTATATTCAGTAGTGCTTGAATTGTGTTGCCCTTGTAAATTATTTTCTGCCTATAAGACTAACAAATACACATTTAATATCTAATAAGACACTTGAAAGCAGCTTTACTGCACACTTGAAAGCAGTGTGTAGTAAAATTTCTGAGCCTCAAGAAAATGGATCATGCAACCATGCTAACAATCATGTTTTAATAATAAACCTGAGGTGATAAAAACAAAATTTCTCAAGGTATAAGGTAGACAGGCCATAAAATGGTAGAACGTGTAAGAGTAGAAATGCAGAGTGCGATTTTGTATGTACCTTGAGGCAGCGATTGGACAGGAAGTGCCGCCTGGCCAGGTGGAATGGAGATGAGTCCCTGACGCTGAAGGCTGAGCAGATGCTGCTGCTGCTGGAGTTGTTGCATCTGGAGAAGCTGCTGCTGGAAGACAAGCTGCTGGGCGGCCAACTGCTGCTGCTGCTGCTGCTGGTGTCAGAAAACCCAAGCCAGTAAACAGCAAAGAACTTGATCTACACAACAGCTCTCATACAGAAAAATGCACACTCGTTTTATTTCCTGGGTGAGTTTTTTGGTCATCATATGGCTAAAGTTTAGAATGTGAACAAGTCTGGATTATCAACTGCTTTGTTTCAAATACTAAACAGCAGCAGAAAACCAAGGAACTACCATCAAAAGATGGCCAAAAGATATATAATTACAGTTAACAGAAGGAATAAATTTAAGAGATCTATTGTACAGCATGGACTATAGTTAATGATTTTATATATATACATATGTGTGTGTATATATATATATATATATACATATATTACTTGAAAAATACTCAGAGTGGATATTATATATTCACCAAAATAACCTCATATAGTTTATTTTAATTAGCTACATTTAACCATTCTCTAATGTACATACACTTCAAAACATTATGTTGGATGTGATAATTACGTACAATTGTATGCCATTTAAAAAATACATTTGAAAAACAAGAGTATGGAAAAGTTCTGGAGATAGTATGTAACAAAGGTTCAGTATTTTTTTTAAATCAGCTTATTGCAGATAATAATAAATTTATCCAGAGTAAAAGAATAATAGTTTATAGGAACAGTCAACTTCTACAACACTTCCCTTTTTTTTTTTCCAACTGAGTAAGTTTGACCTGCAGAAGTCCATGAACGTGGTCTCTAGTGATCTATTAGTAAACTGGGATGTAGCCTTCATAGGACAGGCCTGTTAGCTCTCTCTCTTCCTCTCCTCTTTTGTTGGAATATATTAAAGGCAGAATTATGTTCAAGGCAAAAAAAAAAAAAAAGTGGCCTTATTATAAGGAAAAGTATAACTTCCAATTTTGTGAGGCATTACAAGACAAACCATAGCTCTTTGGACTCGGGAGGGTATGAGATGGCAGTCACACTTCAGAGAAAGACAAGCTGCTGTGGAAGACCTTTCCTTTTTAGTTTGGGGAAAAGAGAAACTTCTGATGCGCTCACTGGAAAACAGACTGCATAATGGAGCAAGTCATGTGGATTGCCCAAAGCCTCCGGAGAAATAAGGGAGCAATTTCTATTCTGTAGTTGATGGCTGTCTGAAATTCTATTCACAAATCCAAACAGAAACAAAGCCTCAGGAGGTCAAAACTGTTTCCTGTACGTTTGCATAATGGGCAGCTTGAAGACAACGGCTCTGATACCTGCTGATCAATTTAACTACTTCAACATGTTTTGTTTGTATTATGTTTATATTTGATGCAGTTTGCTGACAAGTGCAAGCTAGGCCTGAGAAGCCAGCTTGTCAGTTTGATTTATGAGCATATCAAACTGTAACTTTCTACTCGCCACTCCAAACCTACAGTAGCAGTTCATTAATCAGGGGCCTGTGACTTTGAAATCTGTGCTCAACCAGTTTCTCCCCTAGTCTCCCCACCCCCCAACAATGGGCTGAATTTGCATGCATGTTCTCTGAGCTGTACCACTGAGAAAAATAAGGTTCTCTCACCAACTTAGAGTCTGAGTGAATACAAGATAATCAGTACTTTGTCCACCACACAGCTTGCTCTTTCTACGCTGTGATTCATTAGTGAACATTAGACAGCATTGGATTGCAACTCTCAAGTCCCATGCTACAAAAAAAGGAGAGCATGAGAGTTGTCCTGTCACTGCTATTAAGCTCAGTAAAAATATAGAATACTGCATCTTTGACAGCAAGAGCCTTGTTATAGGAAGATCTAAGACTATGCTTGCCTCTCAAAGCCCCTTCTCAACCTCAAACTATTATATATCAAGGAGATAACCAGATCCTACCTCTTTTGCTTGCTTGCCAGGGTGCTGCTGCTGCTGCTGCTGCTGTTGCTGCTGCTGCTGCTGCTGCGCGCCGGGGGCGGGCGTCCCCGGGGCCGTCTTCCGGCGGCGGGGGCCCGGGGGCG